AGGGGTTAGGATTTCAACAAATGTATTTTAGGAGACACAAACATCGGGCCATAGCAATTCTGTGCAGTTCTATCACATGTGTGGGTTCTGTAGGTTCATGTATCCACCACCATAGTGAAAACACTCTCCGTTAGCACAAGGATCTCGTATAATCACAGTTACTCACTTCCAGTAGCTCCCTTGCCTAATTACTGAAAAAAATTTTGTCATTTCAAACATGTTACCTAAATGGAATAATATAATATGTAACCTTTTGAGTTTTTTTTTTTAAATACAACATAAAACTGTCATGATTTATCCAAGTTGTTGTGCATATCAGTAGTTTCTTTGTTTTAATTGCTGAGTAGTGTTTCATATAACGGATATACCAGAGCTTGAATTAACATTTACCATTGAAGGACCTCTAAGCTGTTTCCAGGTTTCGGTTATTGCAAATAAAACTGCTGTGAACATTTGTGTACAAGTTTTTGTGTGAACATAAGTTTTCATTTCTCTGAGATAAATGCCTAAGTGTGTAATTGCCAGATCCTATGGTAATTTGATAATTAATTTTCTAAGAAACTGATGGACTTTTCCAAAGCAGCTGTATCTGTATAATTTTTTTTTTTTTTTTTGACGCGGAGTCTCGCACTGTCGCACAGGCGCGATATCCGCTCACTGCAATCTCCTCCTTCCGGGTTCAAGCAGTTCTCCTGCCTCAGCCTCCCTAGTAGCTGGGACTACAGGTGTGTGCTGCCATGCCCAGCTAATTTTTTTTTGTATTTTTAGTAGAGACGGAGTTTCACTACTTTGGCCCGGAAGGTCTTGATCTTCTGACCTCGTGATCCGCCCACCTCGGCCTCCCAAAGAGCTGGGATTACAGGCGTGAGCTGTATCTGTATAATTTTACAGTCCTATTGGCAATGTTATGAGTCAGTTTTATAGATAATAAAGTTTACCTTTTTAAAGTGTAAAATCCAGTGGTGTTTAGTATATTTACAGAGTTGTATAAGTGTTGCTAATTGTAGAATATTTTCATGACCCCAAAAAGAAACCCCATAGCTATTACTTAGTCACTCCCCATTCTCTCTTCCCTCATCCATTGATAACCACTAAGCTACTTTCTGTGTGTATGGATTTGCCTGTTCTGGACATTTCATATCAAGGGAATCATGGACTGTGTGGTCGTTTTGTTACTGGCTTCTTTCATTAAGCATAATGTTTTACAGGTTTATACATGTTGCATGTATCAGTATTTCATTCCCCTTTATTTTGAATGAAGTTTTCATTGTATGGATATACTGCATTTTAAAAATTCATTTGTCAGTTGATAGACATTTGGATTATTTCCACTATTGGACTTTTAAGAATAATGCTGCTTTGAACATTTTTTTTTTTAATTGAGATGAGTTCTCACTATATTGCCTAGGCTGGTCTCAAACTCAGGGGCTCCAGAGATCCTCCCACCTTAGCCTCTCAAGGTGCTGGGATTACAGGTGTGAGCCACTGTGCCTGGACTGCATTGAACATTTGTGTATGTATTATTATTACTATTATTATTATTATTATTATTTTTTTTTTTTTTTTGAGACGGAGTTTCACTCTTGTTACCCAGGCTGGAGTGCAATGGCGCGATCTCGGCTCACCGCAACCTCCGCCTCCTGGGTTCAGGCAATTTTCCTGCCTCAGCCTCCCGAGTAGCTGGGATTACAGGCACGCGCCACCATGCCCAGCTAATTTTTTTGTAATTTTAGTAGAGACGGGGTTTCACCATGTTGACCAGGATGGTCTTGATCTCTTGACCTCGTGATCCACCTGCCTCAGCCTCCCAACGTGCTGGAATTACAGGCGTGAGCCACCATGCCCGGCCCTACTATTTTTTTGAGACGGAGTCTTGCTCTGTCACCAGGCTGGAGTGCAATGGCATGATCTCGGCTCACTGCAACCTCCGCCTCCCAAGTTCAAGCAATTCTCCTGCCTCAACTTCCTGAGTAGCTGGGACTATAGGCATGCGCCACCACACTCAGGAAATTTTTGTATTTTAGTAGAGAAAGGGTTTCACTATGTTGGCCAGGATGGTTTCAATCTCTTGACCTAATGAGCTGCCCACCTCGGCCTCCCAAAGTGCTGAAATAACAGGCACAAGCCACCAAGCCTGGCCTTATGTATGCATCTTTATGTAGACCTAAGTTTTTCTTTCTCTAGCAGTGAAAATTTTGGGTCACATAACAACTATATGTTCACATTTTGGATAACTGCTAAACTTTTTCAAAGTGGTTGCACCTTTTACAGTCTCACCAGCAAAGAATGAATATTCTAATCTCACGATATGCTTGCTAACACTTGCCATTGCCTGTCTTTCGATTTTAGTCATCCTGATGGTTATGAAGTGTTACCTCACTGTGGTTTGGTTTGCAGTTCTCTAATGAGGTTGAGCATCTTTTCATGTACTTATTGGGCATTTCTGTATCTTCTTGAAGAAATGCTTATTCAGCTTATTTGGCCGCGTTTTAGTTGGGTTATTTGCTGTTTTATTGTTGAATCATGAGTCTTTTAAAATTCTGTATACTGTTCCCCCGTAAGATGTATGATCCGCAGATATTTTCTCCCATCCTTTGGGTTTTCATTTTCTTATTGAAGTAAAAAAGTTTTAAAAAATTTTGATGAAGTCCAATTTGTTTTTTTGTTGTTGTTGCTTGTGCTTATTGGTGTCATATCTAAGAAATCATTGCATAAACCAAGGTCACAAAGATTTATTCCTATGTTTTCTTCCAAGAATTACAGTTTTAGCTCTTACATTTAGGTCTGTGATTCATTCAGAGTTAATTTTTCTACACACTGTGAGGTGGGGTACAGCTTCATTTGTTTGCATGTGGATATCCAGTTGCCTCAACACTATTTGTTGAAAAAGTTGTTCTTTCTCCTTGAATTGTCTTGGCACTTTTTTGTTTTAATAGAAAATCAGTTGACCAAAAAAGTAAAGGTTTGTTTTGGCCTGTGAATCCTATTCCACTGGTCTTTGTATCTGCCTTTATTCTTGTACCATTACTGTCTTAATTACTGTAACTTGGCAGTGTTGAAATTAGAAGTGTGAGTTTCTGACTTGTTTTCTGCTTTGTGATTGTTTTAACTGCTTTGGGTTCGTTGCATTTCCATATGAATAATAGCAGCTTGTCAAGTTTTGCAAAAAGCCATCTGGGATTTTGATTGGGTTGAATATGTAGAAAAATTGGAGAGTATTATTTTAACAATATTCTTCCCATGAACATAGGTTGTCTTTCCTTTTATTTAGACCTATAATTTCTATCTGTGCTTCATAGTTTTCAGTGAAAAAACCCTACACTTCTTTGGTTAAATTTATTTCTAAGAGTTTATTCTTTTTCATGCTATTTTGAATGCAGTTCTACTGGCACATGCTACTGTGCCTGGCTAATTTAAAAAAAAAAAAAAAAATTTGGGCCGGGCGCGGTGGCTCAAGCCTGTAATCCCAGCACTTTGGGAGGCCGAGGCGGGTGGATCACGAGGTCAAGAGATCAAGACCATCCTGATCAACATGGTGAAACCCCGTCTCTACTAAAAATACAAAAAATTAGCTGGGCATGGTGGCGCGTGCCTGTAATCCCAGCTACTCAGGAGGCTGAGGCAGGAGAATTGCCTGAACCCGGGAGGCGGAGGTTGCGGTGAGCCGAGATCGCGCCATTGCACCCCCAGCCTGGGTAACAAGAGCGAAACTCCATCTCAAAAAAAAAAAAAAAAAAAAAAAAAAAATTTTGCAGAGATGGGGTCTCACTCTGATGCTCAGGCTGGTTTCAAATTCCTGGGCTCAAGGGATGCTTCTGTTTTGGCCTCCCAAAGCTCTGGGATTATAGGTATGAGCCAGCTGCACCCAGCTCAGTTGATTTTTTTTAATACTGAGATTGTATCCTGGAATTCTGCTGAACTCATATATTGGTTCTAATAATTGTTTGGGGTTTCTGGGGTGTGGATTCCTTAGGATTTCCTATGTATAAGATCATGCAGCTGGGTGTGGTGGCTCACACCTGTAATCCCAGCACTTACGGAGGCCGAGGCAGGTGGATCACTTGAGGCTAGGAGTTTGAGACCAGCCTGGGTAATATGGTGAAATTGCTTCTCTACAAAAAGTACAAAAATTAGCAGGATGTGGTGGCTCATGCCTGTGGTCCCAGCTACTCGAGAGGCTGAAACGAGGATTGGTTGAGCCAAAGAGGTAGAAGCTGCAGTGAGCCATGATCGCGCCACTGTAGGCCATCTTGGCAATGGAGTAAGACCCTGGTCTCTCTCTCTCTCTCTTTTTTTTAAATTTCCCTGAGACAGAGTCTTGTTCCATCACTCAGGCTGGAGTGCAGTGGCGCAATCTCAGCTCACTGCAACCTCCGCTTCCTGGGTTCAGGCAATTCTTCTGCCTCAGAGTCCTGAGTAGCTGGGATTAGAGGCGTGTGCCACCATGCCAGGCTAATTTTTGTATTTTTAGTAGAGACAGGGTTCAGCATATTGGCCAGGCTGGTCTTGAACTCCTGACCTCATGATCTGTCCTCCCAAAGTGCTGGGATTATAGGCGTGAGCCACTGCGCCAGACCGACCATGTCTCTTAAAAAAATTAAAAAAGAAAACAAAAAATATGCTGTGTGTCAGTAGAGATAATTTTAATTTTTCTAATTTAGACATCTTTTATTTCTTCTCATTGCTATGACCAGAACCTCCAGTCAGTTATTGAATGTAAGTGGCAAGAGTTGACATTTTTTCTTTTTCCTTCTTTCAGGGATAAATTCAGTGTTTCACTATTCTGTATGATGTTAGCTGTGGGTTCATTCTTTTTAGATACATTTTTATCAGGTTGAGGAAGTAACTTTCTATTGCCAGTATGTTGAGTTTTTACCATGGAATAGTTGTTGGCCTTTGTCAGTTGCTTTTCCTATATCTAATTGAGACGATCCTGTGCTTTTTATCCTTTGTTTTGTTAATATATGACATTGATTGAATTTTGAATATTACCTCAACTTTGTATTCCTGGGAAAAATCTCTATTGGTTATTGTGTATAATTCTTTGTATATGTTGCTAGATTCAGTTTCCTAGTATTTGGTTGAGGATTTTGCTTCTATATTCATAAACAATTTTGCTCTGTGCTTCCTTGTGATGGTTTGGTTTTATCAGGGTAATACTGGTTTCATGGTGTGAATTAGGAAACATTACGTCTTCTGTATTTTGGAAGACTTTGTGAAAGACAGATACTGTTTCTTAAAATGTTTGGTATAAATCACCGTTGTAGCCATCTGAGCCTCAGCTTTTCTTTTAGGAAGTTTTAAAGTTACTGACTCAATCTGTGTTTGTTATAGCTCTCTGATCAGTTTTTTATTTCTGAGTCAGTTTTGCTAGTTTGTCTTTCTAGGAATCTGTTCATTTTGTTTTATTTAATTTGTTGGTATATAGTTCATATTATTTCTTTATTATGTTCTCTGTAATCTTTTAGGTTTTTGCAGAATTGGTAGTGCTTCCTCTCTTTTATTCCTGAGTTTTGTGATTTGTGTCTTCTTTTTTTACCCCACCCCCCCCCCCCCCCACCTAGCCTAGCTTGTCAATTTTGTTGATCTTTTCAAGGAACTAACTTTTAGGATTTTTAAAAATATTCTTTCTTGTTTTCTGTTCTCTATTTCATTTATTTCTGCGAGGTGGAAGTTTAAGTTATTGACTTAAGATCTTTTTTCTATTTAAATGTAGTCATTTACAGCTACAGATTTCCCAGTGAGTGCTGCTTTAGCTGCATCTATAAGTTTTGGTGTATTTTGTTTTCATTCCTTTTAAAGTTATCTTCTGATTTTTCATCACTTTTTGATCTATTGGCTGTTTAGGATTGTGTTTAATTTTTGCATGTTTGTGAATGTTCATTTTATTTTTATTGCAAAGTTTAAATTTCTTTCTATTATTGTCTAAGAACAGTATTACCAAAGCTTGTTTTATGGCCTGACATATGGTCTGTCATGGAGAATGTTTTGTGCTTACATGAGAAGAATGTGTATTCTGCTGTTCCTTAGTGTTAGAGGGTATCTTCATGGTTTCTGTTGAGAATGCAGGTGTTAACTTAAGAGGATCGTTTGTATATGATGAGTCATTTTCTTTTGCTACTTTCATAGCTTTTTCTTTGTTTTTCACCAGTTAACTTGGTATGTTTAGGGTGAATCTCTTCAGATCTTATGCCATTTGGAATTTTTAAGCTTCTTGGTTGTATAACATTTCATTAAATCGAGGAAGCATTTTGGGCTTTGTTTCTTCAAATATTCTTTCTACTTCTGCCTCTCCTTCCTTCTGAGACTCTTATTATGTGTATATTTGTGTGTCTGATGGGGTCCCACTGTTCTGTGAGTCACTGTTCATTTTTCTTTATGCTCCTTTTTTCCTGTTCCTCAGCTTGGATAATCTAATTTGTCAGATTTAAAGTTTCTGGATTCCTCCTTCTGCCAGGCCAGATCTGCTGTCGAGCTCCTCTAGTGAAGTCTTCATTTTAGTTATTGTACTTTTCAGCTTCTGAATTTCTATTTGGTTCTGTCTTTTTATAATTTCTGTGTCTTTATTGATATTCTCTATTTGGTGAGGCATTTTTATAATTTCACTTTTTGGATATAATTTCCTTTATTTCTTTGAATATGCTTATAATAAGTGATTTAAAATCTTTAGTGAGTCCAACTTCTGGCTCCTCATACAGACATTTTCTTTTGTCCTTAAATTTTTCCTTGTCATGTTTTCCTGTTTCTTCATATGTCTTATAATTTTTGCTTGAAAACTGGATGTTTTAAATAATATGATGTGACAACCCTGGATATTAAATTCTCCCATCCCCTCCTCAGGGTTTTTGTTTGTTGTTTGTGCTGTAATTTTGTTTGTTAAATGATTTTCCTGGATGAATTTTGTAAAGTCCATATTGCCTGTTGTGTGTAGCTAATGAAGATGTTATGTGGTTCGTTTAGTTGTCTGTGGATTATTGGATAGAGATTACGTTAAATGCTTTGGGCCAAGAAGTCTGTCATCTTTTACTGAGGGACTCTGTTCAGGCATATACTCTGGCAATTTGTAACCGCATTTTAACCTTCACTTCCTCCTTGTGCAGAGCCTTGAGGTGATTCAGAGTTCAGAGAATTTGGCCTTCTAGTTTTTTCCTAGGCATGTGCATAGTGATGCGGGATTTTTTTGCTCCTTAGTTCAGCTAAAATCTGGCTTCTTGTCTGACAACCGGGAAAAATTAGGCACATGGACACTTTGCCAGGTGAGGAGAGCAGTATTTATTAAAAGAAAGCTCTCAGTGGAAGAAAGCAGGTCCTGCCAACAGGCTCCCACATCACAGATTGATTACCAGGCCACCCCACATAAGCTGAAGAGGCCAGGCCCCTCCCCACCACATCCCCCTCCTGAAGGTGAGAATTCCTGGTGGCTCCACCCCATTCTCCTGGTACACAGGCGGGGCCCTTAGTCTGAGCCACTCCACATTGATTTATTTCCCTTACTGCACATTTCCCTTATTGCACGTGTGTTAAGGGATGGAATTTTTCACCATGGGCATGTGTAGGCAAGCCCTCATGCACAATGACTTGGGTGGCATTTGGCTGTCTCCTGTCATAATTGATACCATTATGTTTTCCTAGTGAATTGATCTTCTTGTCATTATGCATTCTCTCTCTTCACAGTAATTACCTTTGCTCTGAAGTCTACTTTATTAGATGTTAATACAGTCACTGCTGTTTTTTTGATCAATGTTTGCCTGCTATAATTTTTTCCAATCTTATGCTTTCAAGCCTGCCTGTAACGTTGAATTTGAAGTTAGCTTCTTCCAAATAGTATATGATTGGTTTATGATTGTTCATTTACACTACCAATCTCTGTGTTTGATGGCTGTATTTAGATTATTTGTATTTAAGATCTTTTTTTTTTGGAGACAAGGTACGGCTCTGTCGCCTAGGCTAGAGTCTAGTGGCGTGATCTCAGCTCACTGCAACTTCTGCCTCCTCGGCTCAAACCATCCTCCCACTTCAGCCTCCTGAGTAGCTGGGACCATAGGTGTGCACCACCACACCCAGATAATTTTTGTACTTTTGGTAGAGATGAGGTTTTACCATGTTGCTGAGGCTGGTCTGGAACTGGTGAACTCGAGCAATCCACCCAGCTTGGCCTCTCAAAGTGCAGGGATATCAGGCATGAGCCACTGCATCTGGCCTATTTAAGATAATTATTGGTATTGTTAGTGCTCAGGTCTCCCATCTTATTTTTACCCCTCTGAGCTGTTTCCTGATTTTTTTTTTTTTTTTTTTTTGCCTTCCTAGGGTTAATTAAGTTTAGGACCATCTTTATTCCTTTTTTGTTTTTGAGACAGGATCTCTCTCTATTGCCCATGCTGGAGTTCAGTGGCACAGTCACAGCTCATTGCAGCCTTGATCTCCCAGGCTGAAGCAGTCCTCCCACCCCAGCCTCCTGAGTAGTTGGGACCAGAGGCACATGCCACCACACCTGGCTAATTTTTGTCATTTTTGTAGAAATAGGGCTTTGCCATGTTGCCCAGCCTGGTGTCGAATTCCTGGGCTCAAGCAATTTGCCAGCCTTGGCTTCCCAACATTCTGGGATAATAGGTGTGAGCCACTATGCCTGACCTATTCACTTTTTTTGAGATGGAGTCTCACTCTGTCGCCCAGACTGGAGTACAGTGGCGTGATCTCAGCTCACTGCAACCTCCGCCTTCCAGGTTCAAGCAGTTATCCTGTCTTAGCCTGCCCGCTAGCTGGGATCACAGGCAACACCATGCCTGGGTAAGTTTTGCATTTTTCGTAGAGATGAGGTTTCACCACATGGGCCAGGCGGCTCTGAAACTCCTGACCTCAGGTGATCTGCCCATCTCGGCCTCTGAAAGTGCTGGGATTATAGGCATGAGCTACCACGCCCGCCCTGTTTTAGTTTTCTTAATGGCTTCTTTAGATATTATAATATACATGTGTAACTCACCACAGTCTACATATGCAACATTCTGCCACTTCAGATGAGTTGTAGAAACTTCACTTTTCACTTAGGTACCTATAAAAAGAAAAAACAAACTGTTTTCCCCTCTTCTCTCATACTTAACACAGTACATTTCTATGCCCAGATATGTGGGGTGTTTTATCCGGACACCAAGCATCCAGCAGACACCAACTGGGTATCCTATAATTTAATCCAGTTTTGATCCTGTCTACCTGGAGATGATGTGAGATCACACAAGTTGAGGGCTTAGTCCCACAAGACTGGCTCCACTGCAGAGGCCAATCACAAGCAGTAGGTTGTCACCCATATTTCTGACCAACTGGATATAAATTAGGATTCCTAAACCTTCCTCTTTTAAGTTCAATTAATTTGCTATGTTGGCTCACATAAGTGAGAGAAATACTTACATTTACTGATTTAGGTATTCAGTAGAAGTAGATGAAGAGCCAGATGAAGAGATGGATAGAGCAAGACATGGACAGGGTAGGGGCGAGTGGCGTGCTTGAAGCTTCCATGCCTTCTTCAGGCAAACCACCCTTCCAGTACGTCTGTATGCCTAGCAACCGAGAAGCTCATTGAATGTTGTTAAAGAAGGTTGTTTTTTTTTTTTAATTGTTCATTTGTTTGTTTTTTCGAGATATAGTCTCACTCCGCCACCCAGGCTGGAGTGTAGTAGCATGACCTTGACTGAGTGCAGCTTCGACCTCCCAGGCTCAAGTTTTCCTGCTACCTCAGCCTCCTGAGCAGCTGGGACCACAGGTGCATGCCACTATATCTGGCTAATTTTTGTATTTTTTGTAGAGGTGGGGTCTTGCTGTGTTGCACAGGCTGGTCTCAAACTCAGGCTCAAGAGATCCTCCTGCCTTGGCCTCCCTAAGTGTTGTGATTATAGTGGTAAGCCATGGTGTTGGCTGTTAAAGTATTTTTATAAAGCTTGATCTCCGGCTTCCCCTTTCCCAGAGGAAACTGAGTAGAGCTGAAAACCCATTAATCCTCTAATCACTTCGTCTTTTTGCTGAGTGGCCCCATTCTGAGGCCACCCTAAGTAACCTCAGTAGGGTAAACTCAGGAGTTATCACAGGGGCTCTTTATAAATAA